CATAACGAATGCAGAGTAGGTTAACTATTCATTGATCTGATGCTCAAATGTTGATTATTTACACACTAAGCTGTATTCAAAGTGAACATGATCGAAATAAATTTATTAATATAAACTTAGCATATATTTCTAAAGTGTTTAGAATGTTTTGCTTCAAATGATAAATTAATCTAATTGACTAATTTATTTAATACACATTGAATAAAACTTATATAATGAATTGTGTTAATATATTATACTTAAACTTTAAGCTATTTTTAGCAAGTACATCAGCTAACATATTTGAACTAGTTTATATTTCTCAAGTGAAACTCATTAGTATGACCTTCAACAAAGAATCACCTGTAAGATGTCTAAAAACTAAAGATTTCTTCAATTAATCATCTTATAGACACAAATTTAGACAGTACTACTTTCTTTATAAACTGTAGAAAAGAGATCAATTTTCACCTTAGTACTACAATATCTAATGACTAGTCATATTTACTAATTATTTGGATAATATTATTACAATATAAGATTCATTAGTATTTATGATTAAGGATTCTTATTGTATTAAAGGATATAGAAACATCCTGAGTCTATTCTTTCTATATTACATCAGTATTAATTAATCTGATATATAAATTTTAAAAAAACAGCCAAAACAGTGTTTTGTTTTAAATACCATAGAAATAAACCATGATTGATTTTCTTTTTAAAATAAAAAATATCTGTAGAAAACAGGTTAAATCATTGATCTTCAACATTTAACAAGGTATTTTGTTTTCTCTCAAGTATATATGAGAAACTTTATTGACATAAATAATGTGATTGTAATCTTGTAGAGGTTAATTTCTTCTATAAATGACTCCAATAAATAGTATCCCATTAATTGAGTATTTAATGCAGGCTCAATCTCTTAGTAGAATTATGGATTTACTCGATTTTATTCAAATAGCCTGAACATCAGTTATAGAGATAATTTGGTGGGAAGCCGTTACCAGTGGAGTACAACCAGGTCTGTTGTGAGATATCAGCTCACTGAAGACAATGGTATATGGTGGCGCAACTTCGTGGATTGGTTGAAGTTAGACATTTCTAAAAATCTCCACAAACCCCTTCAGATAATTTATTGTTAAAGATTGGTAAAATCCGCAAGCGTACAGGAAGCAAACACACAGGGAAATCAAGAGTGTGTGTGTTAAAAATCCATACATATTTATGAGTGTTAATCAAGTATGGATAAATTATTGATTGTCTGTATATTACAACCAATGGGAGAATAGATTCAAGATTGATGTGCAACATGTGATCAATCAGACTCACACAGAAAATTACATAGTGGATCAAGTGTCTAAACTACAGTGAGCGGATAAATAGTACAGTAGTTGAATGCGCTTACTACAATCTTCATTTTTTATGAATAATGATATCCAAAGATACTTATATAAGTTGATATATTATGTTTTTTGATAATCTATGGGTAGAACTCTAAGATGATTCATGAAGTTCTTAGGATTGTTTAAAGAAACAACTTGTTGAAAAGAAGATATATCTTTTCAATGATGACAAGTAATGACAGTCTATCTAATTATTTTAATGAAAACAATGAACGTATGAGATTCCTTGTATCACTGATTCATTGTCGAAATCACTAATAATGAACTGAAACTAGGTAACTAGTCTAGTTGTATGATCCCAACCAGACATTAATTAGAGGGTCAACCGATTCAACTAACTACTGAGAACTTGCGAAAAATTCTTGGAATAATGATAACTGTTATGTGGCTTATTTATTAGCATAAATACAATGTATTCAAAAGGAGTGAAATATATGTACTCTAAATATTTGTAAAATAAATTTTTAGTGACCTTGGTTCGCGTACTTCTTAAACAGATCATTTTATACGATGACGGTTGATTGATATTTCATTCAGAAATCATTAACCACGTTTTTACACAATCAATAATTTTAATATAGTACTATTTGTGAAAAAAGAAACTGTAAAAATGAAATGTATATTTCAAGATATCTTTGTAATCTGAAAGTACACAGTATGCACATATGTTTATAAGAGACTGATCAATTTCAGTCCTAAACAACAATGGGAAGATAACAAGCAAACAACACCAAGTGAATTTGGTATATTATTCACTATTATTCTACATAATACTAATTTATTTTCACTTTTGTCAGTCAATGTATCTTAGTAAATAACAATTAAACAGTGAAAGACATCATTTATCTGAACAATTTAATCAATTTAACATGATGAGTTTCGATACACTCTCAAGGATAACCTCATCAGATAAATGAATTTTATTGTTTACGGTACAAAAATCAATAGATTATTCAAGATAGCAAAGACTTATAAATCAGATAGATGGTTTTGATAGAGTTTCGTTCTTTAAGCTGGTTAATTCAATCGTGAAGCTCTTATCGTCTTTTTGGACAATATCATCATCTATTGAAAGTCTATTATTATTCCATTAATGCCAGTGTATGATAAACGTCAGATTTATGTGGATTTATTTATTATTCAAATGAATTTAAGTTTATCTTCACAGACTGAATAGCTTCTAGGAAAAAATCCATATCATTATTTTGTAGAGAATTTCTATGTGTAAGTTTTAAGTAGATTAAAAATATTCAGTTAAATTAAGTCAATAAATTTGAACAAAAGAGGTAAATTTCTTAAAATTATTTCCTCTTCTTATTTTTCATAATGATCTTAATAGGTATTTCTCAGATCTTAAAGTTAATAATATACCGTTAATATGAATGTATTTGTTGTGAACAGGGAAATAAAAAGCCCAGACAAATTACGAAGGCTATTTCTTGGAACGTTATTTCATTTTATTCAAACCTTGTAAAACATTTATATCTATTTTTGTCCCTATTTTATTCTACAGAACATGAGCTTTCGTTCAATGTATCACTCACTGCCATACCCTTTTTTGTTCCGAAACTATTGTAATTTAAACATAATATTTTGCACCTTATTTCCTACCCTAATTCCCAGTTTTGGACATAATTGTATTTTCGCAAATTATCGTATGTTGTGGTCAGGATATTCACTTATTTATTCATGTACGTTTTTGCACGAATTCAGAATTCAGAGTGTTCCAACTGTCTTGTTTTCTCCCACTTGCGTGCTTGCCAGCCAATCAGGTTCTAGAATAGTTCTCTCTCTACCCCATCTCGAACTCACGCGTACTAGACTCAAGGCTAAGCCGCTCAGCCTATTGCGCCAAGGTCCTAATCTAGACTAGACAGATCAAGGTCAAGTCATAACAAGTATCGAAGGTCATAACAGTATTCATGAATCAATTTCAAAGAATGGGATCAATTTCGTAACATAAAAATATGCTTTTCGATTTAAATTAATGCGATAAATTTCGTACATTATTTTTGGTTTTAAGTATTTCAGTGTATCATTCCTGTCATTTTTATCCTTAACTAACTACTTGTATTCTTATATGTAATACAATCGTATTATTATCAGAAGGTGTTTTGTGGAGATTGTAGTAATTTCAACAGTTGAGATCATGAGTCAATTAAAGCTAGACCACCACCAGGATTTCCATGGTGGTCTAAATTGAATTGACTCATGATCTCAACTGTTGAAATTACAATCGTATTATGTTGGTTAAACATTGAGTATGTGAATAGGGGCTCCAATGTTCTTGCAAGACTTCCATCTCTAGATTATTGTTCTGAGATAACGTAAAGATCGGTTTTGGGACTAAATAAAAGTTTTAACCAACTTAGTTATGAAAGTGTTTAATTGAGTATAATTTTCATCATGACTCTGTCCATTAGATAATAGAAACAATTACTATGTGATTTTACAAACTTCAGTCATTTAGATCACCATCCGAATATCCTTAAAAATGATTTTTACAATGAATTTACAATTCGTATTGAAATTCATCCATTGAAAGCTACCATTATAATATATTTTTCCGTTTGTTGTTTATTGTAGAATGCGGTACAGAATGATTAATAATATTAACGTTCGTAGTTTCATAGCAAGTAGATTTTATTTTCGAAACAGCGGAACATATTGACTGTTGTTTTTTTTATAGGGAAAGCTTCCAACTCATATCCAAAATCTTGATGAAGATAAATTATTTGAACAGTTTAATATACGTATGTTAAAAACTTACGCTTGTTACCCCTCGTAGAGGAAAATAGACTGGCCGCCAGCACTCTCCATCCAATCGTATCTTGCACAATCTTTTCCACTTCTTTACATTTGCTATTCATTCTTTTCATGTCTGCTTCCAATTCCTGATGTATTGTGTTCTTTGACCTTCCTCTTTCTCATTTCCCTTCCCCATTTCAACTTATTGCTTGCCTCATGGTGCAGTTTGGTGATTTCCGTAATGTATGTCCAACCCACTTTCAACGTATTTTTCTCATTTCTCCTCCAGATGGAAGCTGGTTTGCTCTCTCCCACAGTAGGCTGTTGCTGATTACATCCGGCCAACAACCAACATTGAGTATGTAGACAATTGTTTGGGCATAAATGTATTGTTTCATGATGATCGGTGTCGTTCTACAAGTTTCCGCCAGTAGCTTTGTTGGGATAACTGCCGTTCCGGAGTCCGGGTAAGGGAGAACATTTTGGTATGAGTTCATTAACCCCATCATTTAGAAAACAATCTTGCTAAAGAAGCGTATATTAATAATGGACTTTTAACTAGTCGATGTTACTTTTATAACCATTTTTGCATTCCCGATATTAGTACTAATGACTATCATTTAACTGATGTTGTAATATTCTTATAACACACATATGTTGGTGTAGAGTTGCGATAAAAAGCTATTAATATTATTAGCGTCTTACCAAATAAGTGGTTGGGAATGCCTACTTTTCTAAAACGAATTACGAAATATCACTCGTTTTTACCGTCCCGCAAAAAATTCGCTGTATAGACTTATCTCAGTTTTTATACAACACCGTTGAAATATGGAGATAAACAATATGAAAGATGCCAAACAATAAAAAGAAATTATTTAGAAATTTAACAATATTGCTTTATTTTATTTTCAAAACAATTGATTGCCTACTACTAAATTTCCAGTAGTATGTATATGATTTGTGTTATTTCGGTGCATATTAATGTATTAATGTGATTCAACTGCATGCACAATTTGTTTTTACAGCCTTAGGCAAAGTTTCCGTGACCAGTTGATCTTTATGATCTTTGTAAAGTATTGTAAATGGTATTGTTTCATTGGCAGCACAGCATGGCATTGAATTATAGATAGCTTCTCGTTCCACAGAACCCAGTCCAGAAAAATAACGATTCATTAGAATGCTGTGAGCATTATCTGTCGGCATGTAAAGTCCTGTAAACCAAATGAAAAAAATAGATGTCCGTTTCAAATATATTATCACTAAATGATAGTCCGTAATGCAACGTTTACTATCGATATAATCATGTAAAGTTAAGTAAAATAATTTACATAATAACCCGTTATCATTCATAAGAATCTGTATTTTGCTGTTGCTGAATACAACTATCTTATAATAAAACAAAACTTATAATCGTGGATCATATCGAATCATCCACTCTTGTATGTTATCTACAATGGTTGATTAAAATTCAACCAGAAAACAAAAACGCCTACTGCTACCATATGTATCATAACTAGTGAAACCGTTGAAGTTTATTGTAACTCAATAGTTTGCTAGATCACGCTTTCGCTTTTGAAAAGTCTACATAGTGGGTTTGAATGCAATTTTGAATGTTCAATTACTTGTAGATGTTGATTTCACAGCAGGACAAAATGAAAGTCCTGAATTTCGTTTCTAGCAGCTGTTTGAAAACTTTAAGAATAGATAATAACCTATACGAATATTCGTCAAGATTAGAACGAGTAGTTTGACAGAAATTGGGCGCCGAGTATAGAGAAGTCATAATATGTGAAAATTATATATGGACTAATCTCAGCGATTGAAATTTAAATAATTCCCCCGAATGCCCTGGTACGGCCGAGAGTGGGGAGAGTCCGCTCTCCCTCTCGAAATACTCTCACACGGCCACGCGTTTACAGCCTCTGCCAGGGAATTCCTACACATTGCCTTCTCGTGGCGGGGGTGTTGTTTACGAAAATGAGAGGACGAAAAGCGAATGTCCGGCGCTTTAACCGGATCCCAAACCAATGGTGCACATGGACTCCAGTATCCTGCGGGAACGAATGGCGTGTGAACCAATCGTTGGTCACCGGCTACCATGGGATTGCATCTCCCTACGATGCTCCACTGCCTTGTGGGTTAGACCTTTAGGTCAAAGGCTCGGGGAGTGGCCCACTAAGATAACCACCTGCTTCGGTTTGGGCACCTGGGCAGTATCACAGCCTACACGCAAAGGATGAACTCTCTATATCTATGGAAACTACTTTTATCGCTTCGAAAAACAATCAAATGATTCAAATTATTATCATTACTATTATTTTCATTATTATTACTATTGTTATTATTATCATCACTATTACTATAACTATTATTATTATTATTATTATTATTATTATTATTATTTACCACATTGTTCACCCTCTTTTATACTTATACAGTGGTTCGTCTTTGGTGGAAATTCGACTGTATCTAAACGTTCTCGAGTCACTGTCCGGTTGAAAATTGTATGTTACCACCGAATATGAGTACTGAAGCAGTTTTTCTGAAACCACGTGCACCATTCAAACTGGCTGCCTTCAACGTTCGCACACTTATGCAGGTCGGACAACAGATAGGGCTGGCTATGTCTTTGGAAAGTCTCCATATCGATGTCTGCTGTCTATCCGAGACCCGTATTCAAGACTCTGATGAAGTACTACAAATTCGCTCTCCATCTGTCGCTTCGAAAAGCTTGTTTTACGTGCGTTCATCCGGGGACCCTGTGGCATCTTCGACTGGTCTTTCTGGCGTTGGTGTCGCACTAAGCGCTAGAGCTGAGGCAGCATTAATTGATTGGATCCCCATTAACATTCGGTTATGTGCTGTTAGATTAGAGAGTTCCATCAAAGTGAGAAGAAATCGGCGTGAGAAACGATGTGTTTTCGTCATGTCCGCCTATGCCCCGATAGATTGCAGCCCGGATGCAATCAAGGATGAGTTTTACCACCAGTTATATGTTCTTCTCCAGAAAGTGCGTTCGACAGATATTGTAGTACTAGCCGGAGACTTGAATGCTCAGGTCGGGCGTCTAGGCACAGAAGAGGGTCGTTTAGGTGGCCGATGGGGACTCGTTGGTCGCAAGGCAGATAACGAGGACCGTCTACTGCAACCGTGCACAGACCACAACCTGTTTCTGGCTAGTACTAACTTTCGGCACAGTCATCGCCGATGTGACACCTGGCGTCCTCCCTCTGCATCTCAAGCCTGGACTCAGATTGACCACATCGCGATCAGCTACCGCTGGCGTGGTTGTGTACAAGACTGCCGCTCCTTTTGGAGTACCTATCTGTACTCTGATCATACCTTGGTCTGCGCCAATCTTACCTTACTTTTCAGTGGACAACGAAGTGACCGCCATCAACGGATTGATGTTAGCAAGCTGGTTGCAACTTCTGTTGCAAGTAAGTATCGAACCGAGCTAGCTTCTAGGCTAGCTACTATTCCACCGAAAAGTATAGATGAGCATTGGTCGCAATTGCATGACGTCATAAAAATGGCGGGTACAGTCAGTTGTGGGAAACAGCTCTGATGAATGTAAGTAGTGGTGGTGTGGATCTGTTGCCTGCAGAAAGACTTTTCGACCTTGAGTATGATGACGATATTGTCTTACTATGCGATAATGCCCAAGCCATGCAATCCGCACTTAATCAGTTGGCAATCAGTGTCCGTAGGTATAGTATGTGCTTTGTACCTTCGAAGTGCAAAGTACTTCTACAAGACTGGTAGGATTCCAATCCTGTACTCACCCTGGATGGTGAAAAGATAGAAGTAGTTGCGAAGTTGTGTATCTAGGTAGCTGCATAAGTGCTGGTGGTGGCGTGGGTAATGAGATCAATGCACTTATAGTGAAAGCCAGAGCGGCTTATGTCAATCTGTGCCATCTTTGGTGCCTTCGTGATGTCAGTCTGGCTGTAAAAGATCGGATCTACAACGCTCTATGCTTGTAAAACCTGGCCTCTCCGAGTTGAGGATGTTAGACGACTCTCTTTATTTGATCATGGTTGTCTCCGAATGATTGCTGACATCCAGTGGCAACACCATGTTAGTAATGCAGAGGTTCGGCATCGTGTGTTCGGGCACAGAGACGATAATTCAATTGGTGTCACCATCTTTAAACATCGACTTCGGTGACTTGGACATGTTCTACGAATGTCGTTCCAGAGAATTCCATGTCGTGCATTATTTCCCGACGCTGGGACTGGTCGGAAGAAGCGGAGTTGTGGTCAGTTTGACATGCTGTCGTGGGATGAAAGAAAGCTTTACAGGACTGGTTCCTTTTGGTCTTTCACGACCCCCTGGTTGGGGTCCGAGAGATGATGCTACACAGTGGCTAGAGACGTTATCAGATATGGCTGAGAATTGAAGCCAGTGGCGATCCTGCTGTAACCTTCTTTTACTTTCTTCATAAAAAGTGGTTCTGTCTCCCTTACCTGAAAGATTTCTTCTGAGTGTACCTTACCGTTTCCCCCATTATTATTATTACACTACCTTACACTAATCTGTTCGTTATTGTTCTTTTTTTTTCTTTTACGCTCCTTACCTTTTTTTCTTTTCTCTTCGAATTCTCATTGTTTTGTGTGGCGCATATATATTGGCGCTCTCTTGTAACAATATTTATGTGTCCAAATAAATAAATAAATAAAATAATTCCAACATTTCGTCCAGCTAACTTGTCACATATAATAGATAATAACCATTTTAGAAAAATGTAGTTACCATGTTTCAACAGTTTAATGTATACATAATTTGTAGACCTTCAAAACGATATGTTAAAATCAAGTCAGAAAGCCAATGTTTTGAACTGCAAACAGACAAAACTCCTATTTGAATTATTATATTGAGTCCTTAGTAATCATCTTATTTCAGTTACTATAAAGAGAGGTATATATCTGTGTTTTCACATAAAATCACTACTAAATATATAAAACAATTTCGAACATTTCAATCAACAGTCAAAACAATTAACACCCAACAAGCATTGAGTACTAGATACTCAGTCTACAAAATACCCTTACAATTAAAAATAGTATAAATCCATACATTTTTAATTACCAAGGTCAAGGTAACAATGAATGATAACCATTGATTTTATTATATGCTAACTTTTTTTAAATATATTCAATGTCAAGTCGACTTTTGGTGGATTAAAACTGTTAACTGTCTTTCGAACTGGTCATCTTTTTATTACAAAGTAATTGACAAGTAGAAGATAAAATAATATATCTAAATATTTATCTGAGTCTTCTATCTTCTACAAACTTAATCGTGTATTTTTAGCATAGAATATACAAAAATTATTTATTTATTTGAACACATAAATATTGGTACAAAGGGGTTTCGAATACATATGCGCCACATAAATCATTCGATTTGTGTGAGGGCTGAGATACTGTCCGGGTGCCCAGACCGAAGCAGGTGGTTTTCTTAGGAGACCACAACCCGAGCCCTCAACTTAAGGGTCTGATACACAAGGCAATGGATCAACGTCAGGAGATGCAGTCCCATGGTAGACGATGACCAATGATTGTCTCGTACGCCATTTTTACCATCAGGATCCTGGTGTCTACGTGCACCACTGGTTTGTAACCAGGGTTTTACAACTCCCCTAGGTGAACCCTCCGTGTCCGCCAACCCGGTTAGAGCGCTGGACATTCGATTTTTGTCCTCTGAAATTCGTGAATAACAGTAATGCCACGAGAAGGCAGTGAGTAGGACTTCCCTGGCAGTGGTTGTGTGCACATGACCATGTGAGGGCATCTCTAAAGGGAGAGCGGACTCTTCTCACCCTCGACTGTATCAGGGCATTTAAGGACAAAAATGAGCAATATACTTTTGATAGTTTTTAATGTCAATCTGTTGTATAAACTGCTTGTTCCAATGACTAAACTAAACGGAAAAAACTGACACCATTTCAATTCACTGAGACTGGAAACCACATTCCAACTAGTACAAATCACTATCCGTTGCAAAAAGAAATTAATAACATCCTTTTTGGACTTTTGAGTGACGCTAAAGTGATCTTGAGAGTCTCTACCTACTTACTATTGCTAAACGAGTGTTATAAAACAGTTTGAAGAATAAAGATTATGATTCACAGTTGATGGTTAGGGTTAAGAATTAGATTTACGGTTTTTCATCACGAACTGACATCACCTAATATCCCAAGCTACTATTTGGTCAAATGGCTGGATGAATTCCGTGCCAAATTTTAAGATCTGTTATTCTAAATTTGATTGGTTCGTCCATTCTTTATAGTCTTCGCCCAATTTAAGTTTTATTGTTCGCATTATAATTTGTATTCTTCAATGTGTCTTTCACTTGTGTAATAACTAAAAGACATTAAAAGTATTTAATGCAACATTTTGTCATTAGAATTCATAAATGCCCATTGTTTTCTATTCATTATGTTTAAAGAAACAAAAGAAAACAAACTGTCTAAATTTAGTCTGATGACATAAATAGGTGTACACAAGAATGTAATATCATTTCAACATTTTAAATAGATTATTTGTATATAGATGAAAAATTGCATATCATTTCATTCAATATTTTACTATACCTCGCTATTTTACTAATAAACAGGTACAATCATAATTCTAAAATAGAAAAATAGTAAAGTACCAATCAGTTATCTTACATGGTCATTTCTTTTTAAGAAAATCAATTTTTATTGATAATCAATAATTGGGAAATAATACTGAAAGACTTATATAGATAAATAGATTAAAACTAATTGAATAAGTTTCTTTATTTATAAAATTGAGAATATAATTACATAATAATGAATATTTAATGATTTATTGATTAGAAGTCAGATACAATATAAGATCATTCTATATTGATAACTGGAAATTATAATCTGGATCAAATGATTTGATCATGATAATTAATATTGGTAAATCAAGTTGTTCAATATAAGCAAAAATGGATAATAGCTAGCAGTAGAATACAGGACCCGTGTTTTGTCCTATTTGGGATTCGTCAACTGGACGTACTTACATGTCATAGTTGATGTTCACTCTTGGACTCGAACCCAGTACTGTTTACTTCAAACCCTATCATGATACCCATTTAACTACTGAGTCCTGATAACCACTTGCTTGTGCAATGGGATGAAGTTTTAAATTCAATTAGTATTATTTAATTGAATCTTCTCATTGATATGCCAATAAGAAACTGATCAATTGCAGTTCTAAATAATAATGGGGAAATCCAAGTAAACATTACGAAATGAATTCAAACTGTTTAATAATTAAAGAATTTTTTTTAAATATTCAGATAAAATTTTAAGTTTGAATATTATCTGAGACTATAGTTTCACTTTACTCTCAGCAGATTGCGAAACGTTTAATATATTTGCAATATATAGAAATACCTTTTTATATTCATTGATTCTTGACATTTAATAAATTAACAACAAATTCGTATCAGAAGGGGTTTTGTGAAGATTGTAGTAATTTCAGCAGTTGAGATCATGAGTCAATTGAAGCTAGACCACCATGAAAAACCTGGAAACACTATACGGCCGTTTCGTCCTATTATGGGACTCCTCAGTAGTGCGCATCCACGACTTCGCCCCTCGCGCAATTCGGACCCAGTACCTACAACAAGAAGAAACGGCCGTCCACTGCTCCCATTTTCTTCATGGTAGTCTAGCTTCAATCGACTCATGATCTCAATTGTTGAAACAACATGTTCATTAAGTATAAAGTTAATTTATTATTATCTTATATAATAATAATGAAAATAATAAATAACTTACCAATACATCTACCATGACACATATTTATTGGTAAATGATGTGGAAATATAATAAATCTTAATTTATCATTTTGATCCATTTGCATTTTATTTAATGTATAACGAAATAAACAACATTTTGTTTCATATTTATTTTTATCTAAAAAACTTGGACATGATTGTGTTATATGTTGTATGGATGATTTAGTAGATTCAATTAAAAATGATCGTTGTATTAAACGTTTTTTTAATAAATATTGATTTTCTAATTGTATAATGCTTAATGTTTTCATTTCTAATATAATTTGTGTATTATCACTTAATATATTATCAATATTATTATTATTATTATTAGATTTTATTATATTTCTTTTAATCAATATAGTTTCATATTGATTATTGAATTTTTTAATTAGATCATTATGTTCATTTATATCATCATCATTATTATTATTCTCATTTGTAAAATTAAGATCATAATCATGATCATTTATAAAATTAAGATTATTATTATTATTATCATCATTATTATTTTCATTCAAATTTTGTTCTATTTCATATTGATTATTCAATGGTATATTATTGATTGTATCATTTTTATTGATTATCATTGATTTCCATAGAAATTCATTGGATAAATCAATATAATTCAAATCAATATCATCTATATTATGATTAATATCATTTCTATTAATTAATGTCATTATTATTGAATCAATTAAATCATATTTAGAATATTGTAATTGTTTAATCATTAAACTAATATCCCATATCACTTGACGATGGGTTGATTTGATATTTAAATATTCTATATTCGTTTTTATTAATTTATTATTTAAATGAATATAAAAATGTTCATAGATTTGATGGTTTGAATTCATAAGATAAACATATAATATTAATTGATTTGGATTAATCCATGAATGTATATATGTTGATAAGGTGGCTAAATGAATTTTATGATTTAAATTCATTAATGATGGTTGAATAATAAAACAAGATTTTAATTGTTTAATAATATTGAGTTCACATGGAACTAAATAAGAAAATATAAAAAAAAGAAAAAAGAAAAAAAGAACATTTATTATATTTATTAAACTGTAAGTTTTTGTTTTATTTTTTTAATTTCGATGGTTATTAAGATCATGGTCTAGTGATTAAGTGCTCACACGCGAAACCAGTAGGTCCTGGGTCCGAATCTCGCAGGGGACGAGGTCGTAGATGCGCACTGCTGAGGAGTCCCACAATAGGACGAAACGGACGTCCAGTGTTTCGCGGTTTTCCATGGTGGTCTAGCTTCAACTGATTCATGATCTTAACCATTGAAATTATGATACTATCCACAAAACCCATCTGATATTTTGTAGTGTTGATTTCTTTTTAATGATTGACAAGAAATGATAAAAATATATGATTTTAAAACTATTGTAACAGACAATATATAGAGTACGTTCAAGTTTTTAGATAATGCATAATACTGTCTAACTTTGGATAGTAAGATGCACTTATGACTCTATCAGGGATAGGATAGAGAATCTTTCGAAATCACAACGAGTATGATACGTTTAGAACTAAAACTAAGACATGAATGTTATTAGCCTTCCTTTGATTTTCTATAGTTATTTAATAGAAGTTCATTAATGATATGTATTATTTTTAGATTGCCATTTGCTGACTATATTATTTTATTACAAAATATACGTATTAAAAGAGGCAACGATCTTTGTTTTTAACACGACAGATTTAATCAACCACAGTACAATATCATGAACTGATAGTTATAACAAACATTTCAACAATTCTGAGTAATAGTCTAATATCATATATACCCGAAAGTATATGCTTTTATTTCACATTAGAATAACACCACTGTTTATATATGCATCTTAATATCAACAATATTCTTCTCTTGACGTTGTAAATTTAAATATTCTTAACAAGACATTTTCTAATACAGGATGAATGAGCGGTCAAATTAGTTCACTTCGCCTTTCAACAAATTAATTCTTTAAAACGTCATCGGCTCATTAAAATGTTTGTTCTTAGAATAAGAATTTTCGTCAAACTATATATGTAGGTAATGGTTTTTATTAAAATGATTATATATATATATATCCTTACTGACATATTCTAAATAGAATTATTTGAAAAAAGAAGATATAACTGATAATATCAGTGATAATGTCAAATGATGGAGTTTTGTTCTCTGAGCTGTATGGTTCTATCTGAAGTTTGCGCTAATGATGTCGTTCAGAAGAACGATGGAAGCTCCACGATTAAACCATCTAGCTCAGAGAACAAAACTCCATCAAAATCATCCACTTGAGCTACAAATCTTCTCCACCATCCTCAGATAATGTCTAATATTCTTTCCGAAATCAGTTTTTAAACAAACATTATCATTATTCTCATAAAATGTTATCTTTTTCGATTTAATTAATTAATTATCCAACGTCCTATTGTACATTGATATAACATTGATTTCAATCGTTTCATTTTGTACACATTTTTTCACTGCAATTTTACATTTCCATGAATTTCAGATCAATTCTTATATGGAATTGTTTTTTTTCATTGATCAGCTTCATATCTATATACTCAATTGTATATAAATAATTTAAGATAATGGTAGTCTTTTTATAGTAAATCATCTATGTTTGTATTTAATTTCATCGGAAGAGTACTGTAATGGCACATATATATTTATGTTAAATTTATAATCTTTTACCTAGATCACATGGAGTCTGTTAGTTCTATAAATTTTCTGATTAAAAACCTGCAAAATTCAATGATTCTTGTAAGATATGATACGAAACTTAATAATGTGAAAAAAGGAATCTTAGGTATAATGAAAAAATATGGACGACAACTATATTTTATTGGCTTGAATTTGGTTGCAGTTCAGTCAAATGATAATCACTATCATTGTCTAGATTTTATGCAAAAAATAAGCTTTATCATACGTGTTTCAGTATTCTTCTGTATAATGGAATGATGTATAATGGATAGAAACTGGTCTCATTCAAGTAGAGCTTAGATTCTGTCTTCTAAAAATTCCATAAAATTATACACCATTACTTTTAATAGTTTAACCTTAAATTTAGGAAAATTATCAAGTAAATTAACTAGTTATATAGTCACATATATTAGATAAAGTGATTTTAATAGTCAACAGGTAACTTTGAATGTAAACGTTTTCTTGGTTATTAGTTATCAATCAAATATACAACTAGTCTTGTGCGAATTGATACTCCTCATAAAAATTTGAATCTCTTTCATTCAGCTTCATAGTTTGAGACATTATCACGAGAGTATTTACCTTCAACTCAATGTATTCAATAAAATCTTTATGTTCATAAAATGTTTGAATACAAATATTATATTTCTATTATGTGCAGAATTAAAACTTTGAATTCCAGTAGAACAGTTCAAAATTTAATTATAATTTAAATTCGTCTATTAACCCCCTCAAAAAAAATCATTTTTCCCATTGAAACATCATTCATAAAAAATAACAAAAAAAAGGAAATAAAAGTTGTAAAATTAAATTTTATTGAATATTTTAATAAAAATGGTGGCGTTGGTCGTCATGCTTAAGCAAAAGTTTGGAAAACAACTCAGAGTAGATTGCCTAAAAAGTCTGTTCAGACGCTACTTTGAAATTCTGCACAGTGTATTAAACAATGGTGTGTACAAAGTGATATGATGAGTCCTGTTCACGATTACTTCCGTTTTGATTCAATGTATTGATTACTCAATGTAGTATTTGTTTTATTTTCTCGTATGATATTTTATTCTGTATAATTTGCGATATTCTTGTAGTCCATTGACATGAACTATGCTCAGTATGTGATTTGTTATAACTCTAAGTACTTTTCATATATGTGATTCTATCCTAATTATTAATCAAAATGGGTGTACAATCAATATATGAGTGTATTTTTGACTAGGGTCGTCGTCGTCATAGTGTTTTGGGTTCATAAATCACCACTTATACCAGTCATTGTGTTCTTACTTTCATGTCACGGGAATTTCAGAAGTCCCTTGTTCCGATTATAAGTGTTATAAGCGTTTCTGACATAACAATTGGCGACGATCAGATAAAAAAAGTAGCATTAAAAGAGCCAAGACAATAAGCATTCAAACGACAAGTTATAACACAAAGATCAATCAAACACTTAAAATGCAATGTCGTACTTATCATACCCATGGTTGTATTAATCGTTATATATATTCAATATACCATATAGAAATCATGATTTCTACAAAAGATGATATTACCTCTAGAATTTCTGTATCTATACCATAATTAATAAAGGAAAAAGAAAACTTACCTATACGAAGAAATACTATTGATTTTTGTAAATCATGATAAACATCTTTTGATATTTTACCATATTCATAATCATGTAAAAATTGTTCATTATTCATAAAATTAATCCAATTTTCAACAATATTTGGTATTGTTTTACGTATATGAATTAATTCATATATTGTCATGTTTTTTGGTATCCCTTTTAAGGTTGATAATACTTTCAGTAATTCAGAATCACGTAATAATATTTCATTAAAATTTAATGTCATTACTTGTTTATTTAAATGGAATAAATAAAGTAAAATTATTGTAAAAGATAAGAGTTTATAATAATTATGTAATATTAATTGTAATTTAAACCGCATTGTATTTATTATTATTATTATTAATAATAATAGTAATAGTAATAATAATAATAGTAATAATTAAATTCGTATTTATTAGTATGAATATGAATGTTAATTTATATTGTCTTCGTTTTTTTTCTCTTTTTTTCTTTTTTCTTTTTGTTTTTCTTCTTTATATTTGTAAATGTTCAATTGTAAAATAATTAAAATTCCATAAGATAGAATTTATTAAATTGATTGAAAAAGAATACATTTAAATATGTTGAGGATACTATGGTTTAATGACTAGTGTATTGAATATAATGAATATATATATAAGCATAAATAATATATGCCTTCAGTTAGGAATGGTATTTATTAGGTTAATACATTGAGAGTTTTAACCAACTAATTATTCATTCATGTACTTATATATATATATATATATTTAATTGGCTTATGTAACATTTACTCATTTCTTTTTTGTTACTCAGACAGTTATGTAACATTATTCTCATTTTATCAATTATAATATTCATTTCTCTTATTATATCCGTTACAGGCAACAAACAAACAAGTCGTTTGTTTTTTGTATTGTTTCTTTTTTTTTAGTGGGAGAGAGAGAGTGTGTGATAGAGAGGGATAGTCATAACAAAAACGATGAAAGAGAAAAAAACAAAAATGTATTAGTATGAATAATAACAATAATAATAATAGTAGTAGTAGTAGTGATAACGGTTCTACTTAGCCAACCAAATTTCAATTGTCCAGAAATATACTTACTATACAACAATATTTGTACTATAAAATAATAAATAATAAATATCAACTAAATGATAAAGGACGAATAAATAAACGAGTAAATGAGAAAATAATAATAATCATAGGATAATTTGTTGTTATTCTATTCCAAATTATTTTTCTCTCATCCCTAGCAGAACGACGAACATATTTTGTATGTTGTTTCAACTTTTACTTAATAATGCAACTTATTATAACAAATATATATATACATATGTCCTTATGTGAATGTTTGTGTATTTTTGTCACTATGACTGAAATTGAGCAATAATAAGATGAAGTACATTAAATTTATCACCTCGTATTATTAATACAGTTATATTATATATCTTTCATTTAACTTTACTCTCTTCTTACAGCCAAACACTTATATACATATATATAGTCACACTCTTGCATATATACATACATATACAATAGAACTTTAAAAGTTAGTAACGAAAACAGAGAGTGAAAAAAAGGACGACTATCATTAATGGTTTAAAAAGTTGTTTTTTTCCTCTTTTTTTTCAAAAAAAAAACTTTAAATTTAGAAATAAGCGCACAATATGTATATTATTATTGTTAACATATGTTGTTATTATTTCATTTTTATTTAAATGTACTGATATTATGTTGCCTACTATTTTGTAATAGTTTATAATGAATGCTACATTGAATGTGGATTACAAGTCTTGTAATATCAGCCTACTATTTATTTTCTAGAGGAAATCATCTGGGATTAATGTTTATGAATAAATATTATTTATATATATATCACTATCGTATTCGATACTTTGAGTAACCAACTAAACCTTTCATCATACACAATTTAGTTCAAAGCCAATGAATAGATGCAAAAAAAAGTATGATAATTTCACAATATTTAATCAAAACATTCATGAAATATAATTAAATAACATAGATAATTACAAAGTAGTGATTATTTGTGTAGATCAATGATCACTTGAATAAATTAAGATGAAAATTAATTACTATGCAATAATCTTTTTTTTTACATTTTATATTACCTATACAATATTATACATGAACTGTAATCGATTCATTTTTAAGTTGTAATAAAGTTGACAATTATTATGAATTCTCAGTATAGTGGTTGTGAAGATGGTTAAGTTTTGATTGAGATCATGAACCGATTGATGTTAGACCACCATTGAATATCTGGAACCACTGGATTCATTTTCTTATTTTTGTGCCTACATTAAAATGAATAATAATAATAATCATTATTATTACTATTATTATTATTAGGTAATAATTAATGTTATCGACTATAACATTAAAATATTATACTACTTTAAAAGAACTACCGATATAATACTAAACAATAGATTTAAAATGTTTATTTTTTTATTTTATTCTATCATATAGTAATTGCATTATTTATGAATAGTTTATATACAAATTAGAAAATTATATATCTTGAATAATTTAATACATAAATGATTTAATTATATCATCTTTTACTGATGAACATAAAATAGTAACAGTATATATGTAAGGATATACATAATTATTTAATTATATAAAGAAAATTGTCCCTGATTATTGTTCTCAAAATATTGATTGAATCATATAAACAATGATAATTATATTACCAATTTAAGTTACATAGGAGGAAATACTTGTTAGAAGTAGATTTTACGAAACCAGTATATATAATGTAGTTCTTTTTGTTCACTTAAGATTTTGAAAGTCGTCATTATAAGCTTATCGCGCTTAACATCTACTTAGTATATAAATACTTTGTTTTTTTCAAGCAAATGTTTCAAGAAGTATGAAATCTCTTGAAAGGACTTCTAAAAAGCCTTTGGCTTGAACAAACAATAATTTTTACAAGGATTACTGATAGACACTCAGTGAATAATAGACATAAAAAATACCGACAAAGCCCCCATGAAACATTTTCCAATCTCAATAAAACAGTCATTCAGATGAGCAAAAATGGGTAGTGCCTAGCAGTAGAATACAGGACACACGTTTCGTTCCATTTGGGACACTTAAGCTGGATATACCTCTATCTGGGAGTTGATGTTCACAAGCAAATGGCTATAAGAACTCAGTAGCTAAGGTGATAACGCGATGGCGTTTAAAGTGAACAGTACTGGGTTGGAGTCCCAAAGTGAACATCAACTATGAAATGTAGGTACGTCCAGTTGACGAGTCCCAAATAGGACGAAATGGAGCGCGTCCTGTATTCCACCGCTAGCCACTATCCATCTTTGTTTACAATGCTTGTGACTTAAGGCAATATCAAGGCAATACGCACAGTATGCACATATGCTTATAAGAGACTGATCAATCACAGTCCTAAACATCAATGAGAAGATTCATTTACACAATACCATGTGAATCATTCGGATAGATTATATTAGTTACTTGGAAATTATTGATCAGTGAATGAAAAGCTGCTTGAATTTACAAAATTATACACAACATTTCATTATACACGAAATTATAACATTGCTTAGCATACGTATGTTTCATTCATTAATAGAAAATTACTGAATTGTTGGGGAGAAACACATGCTTGTTCAAAAACAAGAACAGGTAGAATAATTTCATATTATAAATGTGACTACTTATAAGTAACACCAATTATTCTCAGAATATTTCTCAAAGTGCTACTACACTTCTGAATGTTTGATGACCCTAAATAACGTGGTTGATTCATAGAAGTCGAAAATACTTTGGTTCACAGTTATCTACTAACTTGATTTGATTTCTTTTTTTTACACTGTTAGTTTTGTTTTATAGCTAAATATTTATTTATCCATAGATAACAAATTTAATTATTTTTTGATATATGTTAAATTCAGAGTTTATTTGTAAAGTAATTTCTTCTTGTTTAGTGGAAATTTCTTTCGATAACTGAAATTTTCCCGATGGAGGACATTTACAAGTGAGCGGTTATCAGAATATTTCATACGGAATAATATGATTTCTTAAAATTTTCAACTGTGGTTATTCCTGGATAGTATGCTACTTATGTTTGTAGATATCAATAGTATGTCACACAAATCAGGAGTGAAATACCTGCCAGCAGAAGATTGAAAAGATTAAATTGGAGAGAACCGAAAAGAAAACAGAGAGGAATTGTAATTATAATAGAACTGAAAGGACCCTGAAGCATGTAAAGGATGACTGAAGGAAGATGTGCAAATGAAGTATTTAATGTGTAGTTTTCATATTTTATGAAAGTACTCTGTAATTTTCACTTGAACAACAAATTGATTGCGCTCATTTTAGTTTTTTTTACCACAACATCACAGCTATTAATTCGGTTATGTTTTTTTCATATGAACTGATGTCATAGAATCGATGAGATTAAGTTTAAACTAATGACGGTTGTTATGTTCATATTTTTCTGTTAAATTGAGATTTTATGTGAAAATAACATTCTTCATTTGTATATTTATCTATATATAATTTAATGCATTTATATACGTATAATATTTAATATACCTTACTTTTTAGCAAAAATTCAGTTCTTCCACTCGTACTGACAAGTAGCATTCTACACTATATCGAACAAATAATTTTATATGACCTAACTGAATATACTATCAAGAAAATACTTTATTTATAATTATTGGAGTGAATCAACCGTAATATTCTAATGCCACTTGTGTCACAACAGTCATGCTCAAGAATGGGACTTGAAAAAAATTTAAAGATTGTCCAGCTAATAAACACTGGTATATTATCTAACCTTTTATTTCATACCAGTGTTCTGTTGGTTAAACTTAACAAGTTCATTGGGCAAAAGTACATAGTCGACTGTGAGCGACTCTTCAAATGTTCCTAACTAATGTTTTGCTCTTTCGGCCAACAACAGATTATGGACTGACTGTAAAATCTAGTCCAAATAGTACGCCTTAACACTAAAACCTATATCTTCGTCCTAACTCTAATCGTAAATAATAATTCTACAATGAGGCATCTTTAACTTTTAAAAAAATAGCACAGAAAGAGCACTCATTACGAATGACTAGAAATTATTAAAGATTATTATTAAAGACAAATATTGACTTACTTCAATAGAACTTCCAGTCATTTAGTAAAAATCATTAAAATACAGATATTCACAACAATGTTATATTTTCTTATATAATACAAGTATGAATATTGATCTCTGTCTG